TAACAAATAAATAAAATCTTTAAAAAATAAATAAATAAAATTATGAAAGAAATAATACTTCCCAAAATTTTCCGTATTACATTACAATAGAGATGCTCCCCAATTGTAAAAGCAAAATATCAACAATTGGATTTTTACATTTAATAAGTAAAATTAGAAAAAAAAAGTCCATCTTTCCCCATCCTATCTAATTATCCTTTTTTATTATTCTGCAATATTCAGTACATTAGCGTCTTAGTCTTCTTCCTCTTTTTTGGAATGTCTGCTCTTCCAAAAACTTTTGAAAATACCTCTGAATTTACATGTATTAGTACGTTTTTACTGTCTGAACAATTTAAAAGGTAGCTTCAATTACTAACACTTATACCTGTGTAGTTTAAAAGTGCTTTTGTGTATAAGTATATTTCAACTAAAAAAAATACTATTTCACTTCAGATTTGACTATTACAAACTAGCATGTTTTTCGCATGATTACAGAATGCCTAAAAATGAGCCAAGAAAACGTTCACATTTCACTAAAAGTTTTAAGTACATATCTCAGGGAAAAAACTACTTATGATCAATGACTCTAAAAGCATTGTATACACCATGCAAACACCTTACAAATTTTTTTTAAGATTTTATTTATTTATTTGACAGAGAGAGACACAGTGAGAAAGGGAACACAAGCAGGGGGAGTGGGAGACGGAGAGGGAGAAGCAGGCTTCCCGCTGAGCAGGGAGCCTGATGCGGGGCTGGATCCCAGGACCCTGGGGTCCTAACCTGAGCCAAAGGCAGAGGCTTAACGACTGAGCCACCCAGGCGCCCCACCGTACGACTTTTATAAAGAGGTAAATCTTCAACAATTTCCAAGGTAGCTATGCTTCCCAGTGGAGAAATGCTCTCTATAAAATAATAACTTAATTACTTGCACACAATTATACAATATAAACCAAGAGAAGGAAAAGTAGAAACTTTACTCGTTCAAGCACTCAACACACTTGCATTGTATGCTCCTCTTGTCATTCCATTTTCTAATTGCATTCCCACAAGCAAGACCTCACAGCTTTCCTATCTAACCCAGCCCCACTGACTGGTGTCCTGACTCAACAGCAGCCTAAGTCACTACAGAGAAGAGCAGTCCTAAGGAACTGCCTTCAATCTACTGGTGCCAGAACATTCTGGCTAGAGGCTCCTCTGCAAAGGGCTGGGTGTGGGCCGTGGCTAGCTGACTTTATAGACATACGGCTTCCACAGAATGCAATGCTGACTGAAGTTTTCAGATAACACACTCACCTTCATTTTCATCAAAGGAAAAGGCAAAAGATACCTCCTGAATGGCTTTCACAGCTACCTACTTCTCTCCATTCTCCCTGGCTACTACTACTACTCCAATCATCCCTACTCTGGGTTACTCCTCCTGACAAGACTTCTGAACCTCTGGCAACTCCCCACGAACATAAAAACATCACATTCAAACACACAATCATATCCACACACCCAGGCCACTCTCAACATCATCCAATCTTTCACGTTAAAGAAAATCACGTCACTACCTGCTCAAGGTTCTCCCATAGTTCCTTAGTGAACTCAAGATAAAAGTCCAAAGATTTAGGCATTGCCTATAGAGTCCTGCATCACCAACTTCTCTCACCATCTCTAGTGGACCCCCCCCCCACAATCTACCAATCAACCCCAATGAACTTCTGGTTCCTCAAATGTGGAGTGCTCTCTCTCACATCCAGGCCTTCATCCATGCTACTCCCTCCGCGTGAAATAAACTCTATTTCCATTCTCTCCTAGCCTTCCTGCAGGCCTAGGCTGGTGTCACTTCCTCCAGGCTACGTTCCTCTACCTCCACCTCAATTAGGGTAAGTGCCCCTCCCATCGCACCCTATACCAATCCTAACACACTTTATTCTGTCCCTTTACTTTTCTATGCCCTCTGCCCCCAGAGGATGGGGCCAGTGCCCTTGTCCACCACTGTATTAGAGACACCCAATTATTTGTTGAATATATTCAAGTTTACTTAATGAACATAGCATGAATGTGGCCCATACAATAAGGGACAATGTTCAAAGCCAGTTATGATAAAACTAGGCAGCAGTATCATTACACTTTGGTATAAAATGCAAACTACACAGCTACCTACAAACTCCTTTAGAAAAATTTAAAGCATTACAACATTAAAAAAGAACTCTCTTCAACATAAAAATATTAGTTTTGTGCTCCCAACTCCTGTTAGGCAAACTGCAGTTCCTAAAAAGGGCCAAATTGAAAGTAACAAAAAAGCAGGCCTGACTGCTTATAGGTCAGGTATGGGATCAGTTTAACTATTCCTCCCTGCAACTATCAAACTTTCTTGGCATTATTCAGAACTCTGCTGGCTAAAAGTAAAAGGCTATTCCATTTCCTTAATTTCTCCATCTTGCTGTAAGTCTTTCAGTAAGGGTTCCACTCATGATAATGGTCCCAAGGACATAAACGTTGCCAGGAAACAAGCCTCTGAAACAACCTGGGCATTAGTTGCCATTGGCAGCTACTTTCTTTGAGCCACATGTCTTCTTATGAGTTACAATCAGAGGCTTGTGACACCAGATTTTTCTAGGGCAGTAGACGGATATCATAAACGTGATGGTACCAAGCACTCTGGAGAGCTCACCAGCTCCACTCTAAACTCCCTGTAAGCAAAAGGCAAGTTATCCACCCTCTTAAGCCTCAACTTCCTCATCTATAAAGAGATAATGGTTCTACCTTCTAAGATTTCTGGGAATTAGATGACCTGTGAAAGCGCTTAGCAGACAACCCAATTACTAGGAAGACTATAAAACCTAAAATATTTTCACATCTTCAAAACCTTTGGTAATACCATAACTTATTTTTGACTAACATCTTTCCACCAGGAATTTTTTGAGAAAGAAAAGGCAGAAAGATGCGAAAATGAGAATCTATTTCTTTGTTGCGAACTTTGAATTTGACAAATTCCACAGAAAACTACATTAAGATCCACTTTCTAATCTTTCTCTGCACTCCCCCAAATCAGACTTAATCTGTACCTCAACCATTCCTAACACCTGGGAGATAGCAAAAATAAAATACTTAAATACATCTTCCCAAGATGTTCTCGCCGAAATAATCATTTCCTTACTGCCTCTATGCACCTTGAAATCTACTATGTCTTATAGGAAAATTTAAAAAAAAAAAAAAAAGAAAAGAAAAAGGGGCTCAATCACAAAAGTCCTTCAAAGTCTCCGGTTTCTTTACAATACAATTAGAATCGTAAGTTAGGATGGAGGCACCTGTTAGGAAAGAGAGGTGGTAAATTCACGAAACTCCAAGCATTACAAGGACAATTTAAAATCTAACTATATGTGGAAAAGTTGATTTCCCACCTCCTATTTCTTCACTCTAACACAGGATGGCCAAGTAATAATGCAGGCTGGCCGATGTGAATATTTTTATCATTTAAAAAAATGAGGAGAAAGGAATTTGAGCCAATTGAGCAAACTGGCTCTCACGTTCCCAAGCCAGGCTGACTTGAGTTTTATTTTTTTTTTTTAAGACAAGGAAATTTTACAGATCTTCTGAAACATGTTTTAAATAAAGGTGAGAGCTCTACAGTCTTATAACTTTACACTAGCCTGGATTCTGGGCTGGATTTTTAAAAAATGGGTGACGTGTGAACAGCTTCCTAAAAGCAAATAGGGCACTGGGATATAATTTAGGAAGTGATGATGCAAGTCTCTAGGGGACAGGGCGGGGGGGTGAAAAAGTCAGAGGAAATACCCTCCTGGTGCCTGGGCACCAACTCATACCAAGGCGGGGAGGGAGGGCTGGCCTCCACATGCCAAGGGAAAGGGACACCCCAGCTCCACCCGGAGGTGCCAACACCGCCCCCTCATCCCTCCCTGCTGCCCTGCCCCCCTCACCCGTGGCCCGGGTGGCCCCTGTTGGCCCAAACCTCAGGTAGGAGAGTCCCAGGGGGTGGCAGAGCACCCCGGACACGGCCTTCTCTGCCCACCTCCAGCTCCCTACCCAGCGCCCCTCCCCGAGATGCGGCCCCTGCCTCCTCCCAGTAGGCCCGGCTAGGGCCCAGCCCCCAGGGTTCCGGCCTCCCGCGGCCCCAAGGCCTGCACGGGCAGCCCCCGCGCCCGCGCCCGCGCCCCCGACCCCCGCCCCCACCCGGCCGGACACTTACCCCCAGAAGCCGCAGGGACAGCGAGGCGGCAGGCTGGGCGCTTTGCTGCGCTCGCTCCCGGCGTCTCCCATGGTGCTCGGCGGCGGCGGAGCTCGGCGGCGGCAGCGGTGGCGGCGGCTGGGCCTGGGCCCCGCTCGAAGGAGGCGGCGGCGGCGGCGACGGCGGCGGCGGCGTCGGGGGGCTCGGGGCGGGGGGAAGGGGGAGGGAGCGGACGCGCGGGCGGGCGCGAGTCCGGGGCTCCGAGCCGGGATTCCAGGCCGGTCAGCTGGAGGCGGGCCGCACCACTCGGCCTGCAGAGACGGGGGGGGCCGGGGGAGGCGCGGAGAGGAGAGGGAGGGGAGCTGAGGAGGAGGGGCGTACGGGTGAACCGAGGACCGCGGGGGAGGAGGGAAGACCCGGCGCCCTCGGCAGCTCCCACCGCCGCTCGCAGCCAGAGCGATGTCCCCTGCGGCGGCGCTGGGAAGGACCTGAGGCCCCCGCCGGCTCTGGCGTAGCAGCGGCCGCTATGAAGCCAAGGGCCCCGCTCACTCCGTCACTCTCTCCTCCCCCGGAGGCTGCGCTGACCGGACAATGGCCGCTCCGCCCCCTCCCCTCCTCACACACCCCTCCCAAGGAGTCACAATGGTCTCGCCCGGGGGAGCCGCCGCCAAAGCCCAGCAGCTGATCAGCTGGGATCCGGGCGTGCCACTTTGTTCAGCGCCTCAAAGGAAAAGTATTGGGCTGTGGGCAAAGCCGAGAGCGTCGGGCTATCACTCGGCGAAGGGCCTCTGAGGCTCTCGTATTCTTGGAACTTTTAAAATCTGAGGCAAACTTACCTTCTCCCCGTCTGAGAAGGGGAGCAGGCTTCTGAGCACTCTGGGACGCGCTGCCTCCCCTCAAACGCGAATGGTACGCCCCAAGCGGGAGGGGGAGGAGCGGATTAGTTGTTTAGGGTAAGTCGGGCCAGTCCCAGAGCGGCAGACGGGTGCTGCGCATGCGTCCGGAGACCCCGTAACCGGGTGCTGGGAGGGGCCAGGAGGGAGTGCATCCAAACCCGGAAGTGGGTCTTGGTTCTCCCGGGGCTGCGGGGCACTTCGTCTGCGGGGAGGGACGGAACCGGCTGCTGCGGGCCCTGGGCGATGCCAGAGACCATTTCTCCACTAACTGCCAATCCCCTTGAAATCGCTATCTTCCCAGTCCCCCCACACTGGACCCACTCTTCTAGTTCCACCCGGAGAACTGGTCTCCTCTTGGCAGTAATGAACTTAATGGGAAATGCCCCTCCCCACCCCCGCCCCAGGAAGGGCGGGAGGGTAGTATCTCAGTCAAGTTCCGTGCCCCTTCTCACTCATAGATGCCCCCCATCCTCAGAGACGCAAGTCCACTCCCTATGCCTCGACTAGGAAAACCTCTCTTTTTCTAGAGTGGACACGTTGGTTTTTAGAGGGGAACTATGGCCGAATCAGTGATGAAAATTGATGTAACCAAAGAAGTTCGAGCCCCTAAAAAATAAGCCTTTAGCACTCCATGTCTTTAATCTTGAACTCATTCTGAGTTCCAGCCAATCGTGAGTAGAATGCGATTGTTGGTGACAAATTTCAACGCGAAGGAAACTTGCACCATATCTCCTGGAGAGGTGGCCCACAGCTGAGACCCTTGTGGGCGAAATTCTAGGTCCCTGCCACTTGGCAGGAAGACTTCCGGGCTCTAGGCGGGAATACGAGACCCTCAGAGGGTATTACGTAGATTAATATTATTTCTATATCTGCCATTGCATTTGTGCATGATTTGTGAACTTAACATTTATGACACTTCTTTTGGCCTCTAAAGAGCAAAGATCACATTTAGTTTAGCATCCTCTTAAAGATGCTGTTGATGATGATGACAGTGATTGCAAAAATCAAGTCATTTACAGCCAACGCATCCCCCAGTGGAGAGTGCTGATTTTCGTAATACTGAGTTTCAACTTTGTGGATTTTCACAAGCCTTCAATAAATATTTCTCTTTTTTTTTAGATTTTATTTATTTATTTGACAAAGAGAGACACAGCAAGAGAGGGAACACAAGAAGGGGGAGTGGGAGAGGGAGAAGCAGGCTTCAGGCCAAGCAGGGAGCCCGATGTGGGGCTCAATCCCAGGACCCTGGGATCATGACCTGAGCCGGAAGGCAGACGCTTAACGCCTGAGCCACCCAGGCGCCCCCTTCAATAAATATTTCTGTCCAAAAGTCCATAGAATGGATGAGACCATACAGCACACTAGCTTTCACTGGACTCATATTGCCCTTAAATCTTCACTGACATAAAATTGCCACATTCATGAAAGACTTAGAGCCTTGGACTTTAACAGACCAAGATTAAGTGGGACTCTCTCTCTTTTGGCATCTTGATGATCTTTTATATATAGAAAAGGAAACCCTAAAACCAAAAGGAAAATTTAGTATATACTGTGATTGTCATCTTACAAACTGCTTGCCTACCTGTCTGCCAGTTTTCATTTTTACAAGCATTTACCAAGTACCCAGTATGTGCACAAAATTTTCTAAGGCCATGTCCCTCCTATTCCCCTCTGCCCTGCTGCTCTTCCTCTCTCTTGCCCAGCACACTCCTACTGCCCCTTTAGACATATGTTATCTCTTCAGTCCCTTCCATACTCTTGACAAGGCAGAATTGGTCCCTCCTTCCCCAACCCACATAATCTCCATTATAGGACCAAGAAATATACGTGTTGGTCTCATCACAAAACCTAGCTCCAGAAGGTTTGGCTTTTCGAAATTTCTAACTGCTGGGAGACCAACCATGAGAGACTATGGACTCTGAGAAATGAACTGAGGGTTTTAGAGGGGAGGGGGGTGGGGGGGTTGGTTAGCTGGGTGATGGTTATTAAGGAGGGCACGTATTGACTGGAGCACTGGATGTTATATGCAAACAATGAATCATGCATGGAACACTACATCAAAAACTAATGATGTAATTTATGGTGACTAACATAACATAATAAAATAAAATTTTAAAAAAAAATAGCTGCTGTGTACCCTCAACCCAGTGGGGGGAGGGGGGGAAATACAAGACCCTTAGAGGGTATTACCCAGATTAATTTTATTACCAAATGCTATTTTATTTCTATATATGCCACTATGTTTGTTCATTATCTGTGCACCCGTGGGATCCACCAGTCTCTGTGGGATTGAAGCCAACTCAATCCACGTTTGCTGCATGGAAGAGCTAATCTGATAAGAAGCCACTCTTAGTCAAGCCTCTTTCATCTGCAAGAAACATAAACCACTGGAACTTCATGCAAAAATTAATGAATTAATTAATAATTTATGGAAGGAAATACTCTTAAAGAACCCAAGGACACAGAGAGGAAAAAGATCTCATGAAGGACTGGAAGAGGGGTCTGAAATACTAACAGAAGCCAAGTAGCTAGTCCCTCATTATCTCTTTTTCTCTCTGGTCACATGTTCTTCCATCTCTCACTCTGCAGATCTGCTTTCACTGCTGCTCTGGGAACACAGCAGAACGTGACTGTCCACGCTTGCCTTGCCTCACTTCAAGAACCAGCAGAAATTAATCAGTTATCTATGAATCCCAGTTCTCAGGAGAAAGAACCTGACTGGTCAAATTTATGTCAGGTTGTCCATTCTTTTTTTTTTTTTTAAAGATTTTATTTATTTATTTGAGAGAGAGAGAATGAGAGATAGAGAGCATGAGAGGGAAGAGGGTCAGAGGGAGAAGCAGACTCCCCGCTGAGCAGGGAGCCCGATGCGGGGCTCGATCCCAGGACCCTGGGATCATGACCTGAGCCGAAGGCAGTCGCTTAACCAACTGAGCCACCCAGGCACCCAAAGATTTTATTTATTTATTTGACAGAGAGAGAACACAAGCAGGAGGAGTGGGAGAGGGAGAGGCAGGCTTCCCGCCGAGCAGGGAGCCCGATGCAGGGCTCGATCCCAGGACCCTGGGATCATGACAAGGTTGTCCATTCTTGATAAAGTTGCTTTGAGCCAGTCCAGGCTCTTTGTTTTGTAATGCATACAGGACTGCCAGAGGCCCATCCTTGTAGCCTGTGGGTCTCAAAAAAGGTCAGTGATGTTCTTGACAAAGATTCCAAATGTATCTACCAGAGACCAAAAAAGGAGTCAATTGCAGCCTGAAATCAAAAAGCATAAAGAACAGTGGACATGATGGGGTGCCTGGGTGGCTCAGTCATTAAGCATCTGCCTTCGGATCAGGTCATGATCTCAGGGTCCTGGGATTGAGCCCCGCATCGGGCTCCCTGCTCAGCAGGAAGCCTGCTTCTCCCTCTCCCACTCCCCCTGCTTGTGTTCCCTCTCACTGTGTCTCTCTCTGTCAAATAAATAAATAAAATCTTTAAAAAAAAAAAAGAACAGTAGACATGTTCAAGAATTTTCCAACAAACTAACTCCTACTTAAACTATTTCAGGCCTAAAATTAAATGGTATTCCCTCAAAGAAGCTTTCACTGATCCCCAGCCCCAGTTAAGATTATGTTGTCCCGGGCGCCTGGGTGGCTCAGATGGTTAAGCGTCTGCCTTCGGCTCAGGTCATGATCCCGGGGTCCTGGGATTGAGTCCCGCATCGGGCTCCTAGCTAGGCGGGGAGCCTGCTTCTCCCTCTGCCTCTGCCTCTCTCTCTCTGACTCTCATGAATAAATAAATAAAACATTTTTAAAAATAAATAAATAAATAAGATTATGTTGTCCCATTTTATCTTCCTTTGTAGAACCTATCATGGTTTATAATTAAATATTTATTTGTGTGTTTTCTCTCCAAAGATCATGTCCGTTTTGCTCACCACAAAAAAAATGCCCACATACAATGCCCAGGACACATTTGGTAGACATTAGTAAATGTTTGTTGAATGGAAAAAAATAACCAATGTGAAGCCCATATATGAATTGTCACCCCATTCAGACTATCCTGGGGGATTTTCTATCACACCTTCCCTAGAAGACACTGAAGCTCACTGTGAGCCTTTTTATCACACTGAGTTGTACGAAATGAGACCCAGTGTTCATCTTCCCAAGGTTTCTATCAGAAGAGCTCTTGAACCAGTTCCTATAACATGCCCACTTAGTTGGCTGAAAGCTAAGAGAAGACATAAAATTTCAGGGCATCATCAAATTAGGGGACCAAAGTATGGGGGTAATTGACAAGTGCTTTTGTCATAATTGTCTTGACTATTTCCTAGTGTAGATTACATTCCAGATGAACCCATGATGTGACTCTTGGGTGTAGTTTGCAATCACCATTGGCCTAAAAGGAGCCATCTACATGCTCAGCAGGGTCTAATAAAGGATAATATTAATGCTTCAGCAGCCAGAGCTCTTGAAGTAGCAACTGAGGTTGTGTGGGAAAGAGCCAGGTGTGACTAAAGGGCAGGAGCTCACAAGGACTGCTTTCTTGGTAATCCTGAGTCCAAAGACCTTAGCCCTGCAAGAGATGGCCAAAAAGGAAAACACTTGTAGAGACCTGAGAGGAGCAGATCCGTCCTCCAACTCAGATTCTAATTCTTACCCCACAGCTCTAACTCCCAGTTCAAACCCTTCCATCATTGTAATTCATTCTACCCTGGCATTAGTCCCAATGTCCAATCCAAACTGTAGCCTCCATCTTCATCCTAATCCCAACATCATCTGTAAAAGTTAATCCAGATTTCAGACCTAATCCCAACCCTAATTCTGTGAGTTTAACGAAGGCTCCTTGCCTTGCCACTGAGTTATTTTCCTCAGTTCCTCCTTCTTATGTCCCTTGACCCAGACTCACTCCTGGGGACAGAGGAGAATCCTATGACACTCTGGACCCCTAGGGAGAATGGGAGCCAATTTCAATAATCCTAAAAAATCCTGAAAAAGAAAAGGGGCTCGGGCTGCTAGGAAAGAGAAAATGGAGCATCTTTCACCTGCAGCGACCTTTCCCAGCTGCAACATGTCTTGTTTGCCGAATTCAGGAACTGCTTCGCCTCTGAAAGTCCAGAAAAGATGCAATCCAAATCACCTGTGTAGACTTAGGAATGTGTGCTACAGCTGGCCAAGAGCAGATCTGAGACCTCTCTGCAAAATGATAGGGTTAGATTAGATGAGTGTCTTTCGAACCACGTTCTCGGAGAGCAAGAATTCTGGTTTCTGCTCTCCTCCCACACTTGGGTTTGGTTTTTTTTTTTAAGTCACTGAACTAGACCCTCCCTAAGCTTGCTTCTGGCCCTTGAGTTTTCTGATGTGCAGTTGATTCTTTTAGTCACTTCCGGTCCACTTGGTGTGGATAAACTCTCAGAACCAAGAGAAAAGAAGAGCAACCAAGCATACCATCTCCAGCCCTTCTCAGGAAGCTAAAAATAAATTAAATAAAATGAAGAGTGCAACGCAAAAGAGAGGGGAGGGGAGGAGAGAATGCTGCCATTTCACATTTCGTGTTCCCATGTTCGTGAAGCAATTGCTGATTTCCCTGCTGCTCACACCCATCGTGGTGTGAAATTTGATTTTACTGACTTTTAAATTTCTTTTCAAGAATGGAAATACTGTTTTTCCCAGAAATACTTGACCTTTGTGGGGAAAAAAATTTCAAATAATGAGAAAGCAAAAGTCCTCCCTAATACCACTCCCTAGAGAGACTCTTAACGGTTTGTTACATAGCCTTCCAGGCTTCTCGTTTATATACTGTTAGATAAACAGGGTCATATAACACAGAGTATACTCTGATTATTTTTAACTTAGAAGTATGTCATGGACATCTTCCACATCCATGCATGTAGCTTCGCAGTATTGTCCATAGCTAAATTATTAGGGTTCTCTGAAGATATATAGGATATATATGTTCTATTGGTTAAGATATATATGAAACCAGGGGCACCTGAGTGGCTCAGTCAGTTAAGTGTCCGACTCTTGATCTTGGCTCAGGTCTTGATCTAAGGGTCATGAGTTCAAGCCCTGCGTTGGGATCCATGCTGGGTGTGGAGCCTACATAAAAAAAAAAAAATATTGACAAACCAAAAGAGACTCTTAATCATAGGATACAAACTGAAGGTTTCTGGAGGGGAGGAGGTTGGAGGGATAGGGTAGCTGGGTGATGGGCATTAAGGAGGGCATGTGATGTAATGAGCACTGGGTATTATATGACGGATGAATCACAGACCTTTTCCTCTGAAACCAATGATACATTATATGTTAATTTTAAAACTTAATTTTTAAAAAGATATATATGAAACCATATGTATGAAGCTATATATATAGACACAAAACCACACACATATATATATATTTACATATATGTTATAAAGTACGGCTGATCCTGAACAACACAGGTTTGAACTATGCAGATCCATTTATATGAGGACTTTTTTAAATACAGTACTGTACTGTAAATTTATTTTCTTTTCTTTTTGCTTTTCTTAACAGCATTTTTTTTCTCTAGCTTATTTTTTTTTAAGATTTTATTTCTTTATTTGTCAGAGAGAGAGAGCACATGTACATAAGCACAGGGGGAGCATCAGGCAGAGGGAGAAGCAGTTTCCCCACTGAGCAGGGAGCCCGATGCGGGGCTCGATCCCAGGACCCTGGGATCATGACCCGAGCTGAAGGCAGACGCTTAACCAACTGAACCACCCAGGTGTCCCTCTGGTTTACTTTATTGTAAGAATACAGCATATAATACATAACATACAAAATATGTGTTAAGAGACTGTTTATGTTATTGGTAAGTCAATTAAGTTATGAGTAGTTCAGTTTCAGGGGAGTCAAATGTTATATGCAAATTTTTGACTCTTTAGGGAGGTGTCAGCATTCATAAATGCCCCTGCATTGTTCAAGGGTCAACTGCATAACCATATATATGAGGTTTATTTTCATTTATTTATTTAATTATATATATATATGTATACACACACACACACACACATATGAGATTTATTATAAGGAATTGGCTCATGCAATTATGGAGGCTGAGAAGTCCCAAGATCTGCAGTCTGGAGGCCCGAGAACCAGGAGAGCCAATGGTAGTAGGTTGCAGTCTAAGTCAGAAGATAAAAGAGAAGACTGATGTTCAGCTAAAGACCATCAGGCCGAGAGCAAATTCTTTCTTGCTCAACCTTTTTATCTACTCAGGCCTTTAACAAGTTGGATGGGGCCAGCCCACACTGGTGAGGGAAATCTGCTTTACTCAGTTCACTGATTCAAATGTTAATTTCATCCAGAAGAAACCTCCCAGACACACCCAGAATGTTTAACCACATAGCTGGGCACTCCATGGCCCAATCAAGTTGACACATAATATTAACCCATCCCACTAAAATCGTGCGCTCCAAAAGTCAAGATGCCTGTGTTTGAATCTGGCTTCTACCACCTACCAGCTCTGAGACTTTAGGGAAGTTACTTAGCCTGCCTATGCCTCAGTTTCCTCAACTGTTACAAGGGGCATCTGTAGTGGGCTCTGCTTTTCATCTGCCCAGTTTCTCTTTGGTGGTCCTACTCTGGCTTCCAGGCCTTCTCAGAGATGTACACATAATAGATTCATTCAAGGAGCCCTATCCTTCTGGCCACAGGAATTCCGATAGGCTTTGGAAGAGCCAAGCCCCTCCCTGAGCTGACTCTCTAAGCCTCACCTTCTGAGATCAAGTGTCCTTAGGAACATGTAAGCCCAAAACTACTGAGGGACTCACCATGTGGCCATGTGGAACCAGGCTGAGAATCAAGCTAACGTAGAAGAAAGAAGAAGAGATGGAGAGCAATAAAGACTAAGTTAAGTCATCAAGGCATTATTTGAGTCCTTGAATCCAACTAAGTATGAAGCCAGAACTATTGTCTGGACTTTTCAGTTACATGGACCAACAAATTCCTTTTTTTTTTCCTAAGCTAACTTGGGTTAGGTTAGGTTTCAGGATGCTTCAGTGAGAAAAGTCCTGACTACGCATAATAGCATCTACCTATGTCATAAGTTTACTGTGAGGGTTAAATTATATGATTCATGAAGGAAATCTTAACATAGTATGTAGCATACAGTGCAAGGTCAATAAACATTCACTGTTATTATTATTCATTTATTTTTAATGGCTGCTGACCACCTACTGTATGGATAAACCATTTAATGTATCTCCTTTTGATTCATTTGTCCTATCATTCATTCATTTATTCATTCAGCAGATACCTTTTGAGCACCTACTATGTTAGGCACTGTTTTAGGCATTA